GCTTTTTGTGATGGCTGATATAAGAGAACAGGGCGCAACTGTGAAATCTTGTTTTCTGCTAGGAAAAAGGGCCGCAGAAACTCTTGTAATGAACACAGCTTACAAGGACAGCACTATGGGGAAAGGTTTTCTCATTTCAAAAAAGGTGAAATGTCGATTGATGCCAAACCTCATTTGGACATCTGCCTACTTCCCAAACAGACTCCTAGTTGACTACCGAGTTGACTCCTAGTACATTTGGAGTTTGTTCCAACAGGTCAGATTGTTAATCAAGTTTTGTATCCTCCCTGGCAGTTTAATTCTGTCTGGAATTTTGTACCCAAAGTGGTTCTTTGTTTTGTATAAAATTTGTTTTCTTATATTGTAGGCCTGTAATTCTTAAGAAATTACTCATTTTAATCTCTCTAGTAGACATTCTAAGTATGATAAACTTTAAGCCCCCTGGCAGCCTAATCATGTCAGTAATTTTTTGCAGACTTCTCTGTAGTGTAATCCCGAGTGAGGCTCGGGGTTACCTCTTCTGACAGTTAAAATTTTTCCCAAGTCACACTCGTGATAACCACCAAGGAGGCTATATAGAGATTCTGAAAAGATTGTGTAGCAGCGTGAAACAAAACAAGCCTGATTTGTAGCAGGCGGGGAGTAGATTTGCCACCACGAGAATGCACCTGCTCATGTAGCCACCATCTCAGTGTGCCATTTTGGGGCAAAAAACCATGCCTCTTACCCCACTCACCTTACTCACCTGACCTCGCCCGTGAGACTTCTTTTTATTTCTTTGAAGGAAGAGGGAGACGGAAGGACAGATTTGATGACATAGAAGAGGTGAAGAAAAAAACAACAACCCAAGGGAGGTGTTGTTAGCCATTCAAACAGATGAATTTTAAAAATATTTCCAAGAATGGAACTGCAGATTTGACTAATGTATTAAGTGTAATAGAGAGTACTTTGAAGGCAATAAGGTTGTTTTGTAAAAAAATGCATAGCTTTGGAAAAAAAAATCCGTTTTTTCTTTTGGGCATTCCCTCATATATTTAAATTGTTTTTTGGTGATTGAAAATTACACAGCAGAACACAGACCAATTGTACAGTTTCTAGCTGCACAATTCGGTCACATTGACAGCTTTTCAAAGTTGTGTAACCTCTCTAACCCTTTTCTGAGTTGTTCATTATCCTAAATTTGGTGCTCCTTAGTTTCCTATCTGATGTTTTGTGGTCAGTTTGATCCTATGTAGGTAGATCTTAAAGCGCATACTGCTCAAGGCAGCTATTCTTTACTCATTAAGCTAAACTATTGTGTGCTTTTAAGAAGAATTCAGGGGTTTTCTTTAAGACTTTTGGTTTAAGATTTGAAGGGCAATAATTTCATGGGTTTTGCCAGCCTCTATTCCTCTAGGACATCTGAATGTCAGTAGAATAAAGAATTTTTGTTCTGCATTTTCCTTTTGCTCAGGTTTCTTGTGTAGAATCTTTGATCAAAACGTAAAGTAAAAGTAGCTGGGCACCATCTAGCTCTTCTGGTTTCATGGCCAAGGAGACAGTTGTTCAAGGAGGCAATTAGCCATACATTCCATATCCTCCTCTCATTCCCGACTCTCCTCCTTATGCTCCAGCTTCCTGTCTTGTCCAATTGTGCTTTGGATGGTCTCTTGCAAGCTTATGTGTACTTATAAAAATTTCTTTTCAAGGGTCGAGAGTGAATAAAATTAATTATTTACTGATGTATCAAGAACAATCAAGTGAAATTTGTGCCACTGCCCTGATGGTGCTAAAGCACTAGCAATTTTACACACCTAGAATGTGAATATAGCTTTGTCCCTGCAGACCCCTTCAAAGGATCTGAGAAACCCGTGAGCCTTGCTCTGAGAAACCACAGTGGGAGAATATTACCATTTTATTGTTAAGAGTGCTTTTGGGCCAAACTATATGTGCTATTTACAGAAAGGACGTTTAAAAAAAAAAAAGGTTTATAGAATTGTTGGACATATGCAGAAATGTCCAGTAAGCTAGTGGTTATAATTCTTAGTGGTTTCAGTTGTGTGTAATGTGGGTTTTGCTTTAAAAAAAATTATATAAAAAACTATTACAGGGGAAAAATAATTATTTTTATTATAAAAATGGGGGCAGAGTGGGAGAGGGAGGGGATAAAGGGGAGCTGATATCAAGGAGTTCATGAAGAAAGAAAATGGTTTGAAATGGATTTTGGTAGCAATTGTACATTATTGCTTGATGTGATTGAACTATGGAATGTTGTGATATCTATAAGAGCTCCCAATAAAATGATTAATTTTTAAGTTTATGTATAAATAGGTTTCATCATAGTTTATTGTCAAGCTTTCTAGTAGTATTTCTCTTCTTATACTTTAGAAATTATCATGTAAAATTACTTTTTAGATTACAATTTTATTCAAGTTCCATTTAAATTGGAATTTATTTCTTCATCTTGAAATTGCTTTGACTCAGCATAAATCTTCTGTCATATAAGGCAGATTAAAACTAGGAATAGTGCTTCACATAGGCTTTACCGTAAATTCAATTCTTAAGATTGTTTCCATCAAAACTGTTGAAAAGCTCTTTGAGATAGTTTATTGTGCCAGCCTGGCCGATGGGAGTGAGTTGCATTGAGCCATTTGTACTGCTTTATAATTTAACTGTTCATTTCTTGTATTATATATCTATCTTATATAATTTAACAGTTCGCTTCTTGTGTTATATATCTAATTATCTTTATAAATAAATATATTAAATTATCAGCAATTTGGTTTTATCTCTCTAGAGAACCCTGTCTAACATTCTTTAATGGAAATTTTACATAATTTCATGTCAAAGTAGACATAGTGGTATCATGAACTCCCACATACTCGCCCAGTTTCACAAATTTAGGACTTGAGGACAATCATGTTTAATTTATTGCCCCACCTCCCCCAGTTATTTGAGGCAAATGTTAGGCATCACTTAGTTTCATTCTTGAAGAATTCAGTATATTTCTCTCAAATAAGAATTTAAGATTGAGATGAGAAAATAACGCTGCCATTTAGTTCCCCTTCAAAGCAGTACCTTGACAGCCTATTAGTGTCCCATAGAAATGTTCTTTGCCTCTGGCAATTTTTGCATCTATATGTTCTCGGATTAATCAGTTGCTATTGAATCAGCTCTCACTTAGGGGACCTGGGAGCTGTGTCAGAGTAGACCTGTGCTCAGTAGGAGTTCCACATGGCTCATTTTTCACAAGTTTCCAGCCCTTTCTTCCGAGGTACCTCTCATGGACTCAAACCTCCACTCTTGATTAGCAGCTGAGTGTGTGAACTGTGTGTCCCACTTAGGGCTTCTCTTCTGTCCTCTGTCTAGAGATGCTTAATAATATTGAAGCTTTTCTCCCTGTTCATCTTATTCACTTTGTGTGTATCTCTGTGCACTTTGTGTATCTCTGTGGTTATGGTAATAAACATGGCAAATGATCAAATACAGGGGAAGAGAACTTGGAAAATACTGAAAGATTTTGGCTTTTTTAGGATGAAGAGACTCGGCAGAGCCTTGAGTGTATCCAGGCCAATCAGATCTTTCCCAGGAAGCAGCTGATCCGGGAGGATGAGAATCTTCAGGTAGTTCTTGACTGTACACTAAGTATTTAACATCATACTTACAACGTAGTAGAGTCAATGGATTGTAGTAATAATGCACTATATAACACATACATGTTTCTTAAGCCATACATACAGTAGAAATGCATCACTAGAAAGCATCTCTCATTTTAGAAAGAGCTATTTCCTGAGAATTCACTGTTAGGGACAATCTCTGAGTTGTTCCTTTAGAAAAAATAATGTTTTAATTAGGTAGGTGACAACCTATCCTTTTTGGGTATTTTTACCCACTTACTTAATTACTGTGTTTTAAAAGCTTAGGTAACAGGATGTATTGCCCATTCATCTGACCTGGGTTTGAAGACTTCACTGCTTCAGGATTGTGAAGGATTTCTTTTGTTTTGAAGGTTCCTTTCCTTGAACTTCATGGAGAGAGCACCGAATATGTGGGCCGTGCTGAAGAAGCCATCATTGCCCTTTCTAATTACAGACTTCACATCAAGTTCAAGGAGTCTCTTGTAAACGTAAGTGATTACCAGTAGTTCTCCCTTTAAGAAAGATGGAGAGAAGGAAAATATTTGAAGTTAATGTTTTTCAGAGAAGACAGTCATACAGGCTTGGGTTTTAAAATATTGTATACTCTTCGTTATTCTCAGTTTAACATTTCAAGGGACACTCAGTTAGCAAATAACTTACTGCGTGATTTAAAATGATGTCTATGTCATTGTCAGTTGGTATGTGAGGTGTCCATTGTTTAGGAACTTCAAACTATTTGCACCAGGTAATGCTGTTTAATTAAGCTTTATGATGTCCCCAAGATTGTGTAGACTTTTGTTCTTCAATCTTTGGTAATTACTAACTGCCTCAATTGGGATCATTTCCTGGGCCTTAATGTCAAACGAGATGTAGTTTGAGCTCAAAAATGAGATGCACTTTGAGCTCAAAGCCGTCTCTCATTACAGGGTGAAGTTACTCTAATGGCTCCTTAGTGGTATAAGGATAGATGTTAAGTACAATGTTTATTTGCATAATGGACTATATATTACTGAAAGAGAGTGAGCCTCTCAATTCTCAAGCGTGCATTTACTCTTTTCACTTCTGAGGGCATTCTTAAGGAATCAGTTCTTGTGGTGTTCAATGAAACCTCAAAGACCCACAAAGGACAGCTCGTGTGCCTCCACTACATAAATGCTTCACTTGTCAGTATTGTAGCTCTCTGCACTTCAGAGAATTCTGTTAGGATACCAGATGGCAGCTCAAGAAGCCCTGGTAATGTCATGGGTTACATACATCTTGGGCTGCTAAACTCAAATCTACCAGCAGCTCTGCAGGAGAAAGATGCGTCTTTCTGCTCCCAGTATGATTTATAACCTCAAATCCACAGGGTAGTTCTGCTCTAACCTATAGAGTCATTGGGAGTTGACTCAATGGCAGTGAGTTTTTGTTGTTTTGACCGTTCAGGACTCCCCATGTAGATTGTGTAAGTCCCTTTTGGGATTCTTTGAAATTTCTCACTCACGTTCATTGTACTCAGCATTCCAAAAGTTACCACATTTCCCAGTCACATTCTTTCATTTGTACAAAGATTCAAGTGACTGCTTTTCCTTGCACTTGGTCCTTATTAAGCATTTATGTCCAGGTGGCATTCTGGCCTGAATTTCCTTTAGCATTTATATTTGGACTGTGATATCATGTGTCCTATTCAGCTGACTCAAGAAGCTATTGCACTAGATTCACCAAGGAAAGAGGCTACTGGTTTTTCATACCACTTAACACTGGGTTCAGAAAGGACCGGTTGGACTTCGGTGATGGTATTGAGCACAGAAAGTGTGGAAACACACCTCTGCAACTCTAGTCATTCCCTACTAGCTACTGTAGAAATGTCAGTAATAATTAGTTGAACTGCCCAATTTTATTTTGTGTTCTTCCAGAGTTTAAATAGTGGGAAAGAATGAAGTCATAATTAACATACATACTCACGTTTAAACCGACCCGAATATCAGTTGAGGAACCTAATTTTACCATCAAAACTGCACTAAAAATGTGCTAAAAAAACTCTGCTTATACACGAGTATATATGGTAAGGTGTATGTGGGGGGTGATAAAGTGTTGTATGATTGCATTTCTCCCATACTTCAGTTTCTCAGATTTTCAGTGTATGACCAAGTTTTAGATTTGAGAGTAGAGGCGATTGGCAAGGAAGCATGGATCTAATCATGTCACCCACCAGCTTAAGCTCGACAGTG